CGTCCTTCACCTGGGCCTCGGCAAGGACGAGGAGCCTCTCGAGCGCGAGCGAGGGCCCGTGAGCAGCACAGGCGATCGATGCTACCGAGAGGTCGTCCAAGAAGGCCCAGAGACCGCGGACGGGCTCGTCCACGCCGCCAGCCCCGCCTCCGCGCGGGGGGGCCTCCTCCGACTCCTCCTCGAAGGCCGTGCCGATGACGGCGGGACGCAGGTCGAAGCGGACGCGGCGGGCGCGCCGCCCCGTGCTTGCACCTCGCTTCCTGCGGACGCGGCTGCCCTCGAAACCAGCGCCAGGACCAGTGCCGCCAGCCACAGGAGCCGCGAGGGCCCCGCCGCCTCCCGAGAGGCGCGCCGCAGGGTGAGCGTGCTGGTACGCCAGAACCGCAGCGCTGGCCTGTGGCGCCGCCTCCGACACCGAGCAGGTCGTATCCACTTCAGCGTCGGCAGCACCCACCTCCTGGTAGTCGAACTCGGCCGAGTCGGCCGCACTGCCCACGGGGCTGGAACGGCCTCAACGTGACCACCACCCGAGCCCGCGGAGCCTGTCGGCAGAGGCTCTCCAGCACCAGCCGCAGCGTCAGCACGCGCGTGAAGACCAGCCGAGGCGAAGACCGCGGCGCCACACGTGCAGCGGATGCACACGGGGGGCAGCGGCTCCCAAGGCCCAGCGCGCTGGACCGTGAGGAAGGCGTCCCGCGCCCGCGGCGGCCGCGCCTCCGCGCGTGCAGCACCGCTCGCAGTCCTGCTCTCCCAGCCGGCGCCGTCCAGCTGCTCCCAGACTCCCGGGGGGTGCCGCGGCCAGAACGGGGCAGCCTGCTCGCGAAGCACGGCCGGGTTGCCCGCCACGGCGCACAGCTTCTGCCCGAGCACCTCCGCGCCACCGACGCCCTGCCGACGAGCTTCGAGACGCGCGCTCCTCTGCATCTGCCGAAGGCGCGCGGGCCGCGCCTCTGCCACGCTCTCGCCCTCGGCGTCGGCGTGCAGTGCGACGTTGCGCCTGAGCACGTCCTCGGGCGAGGGCGTCTCGCCCTTCAGGAGTGCGCGCAAGGCAGGAATCAGCGCCACCACGCGGTCCGCCAGCTCCGCGTCCCCGATGAGATCCTCGAAGCCGCCCAGGAGCTGCCGAAGGGTGCGCCTCAGGGAGTCGGCATCCTCGCGGGACTCCGCGTGCTGCTTGACCAACTTCTGCACCAGACGGTCTGCCGAGGCACGGGCACCAGCCGCGCCCCGCAGAACCTCCCGCGCCATCGCCTGCCCAAGCACGCTTGAACCAAGCAGGCTTGAGCCAAAATGGCTACGGATCGTCGTCGTCGTCGTCGTCGTCGTCGTCGTCGTCGTCGTCGTCGTCGTCGTCGTCGTCGTCGTCGCCGCCGTCGTCGTCGGGCGCGAGGCGGACCTTCCTGGAAGTCTGCGAGGCAGGCCAGGGACGAGAGGAACCAGCAGTCCCCCAGCTCGCCCTGGGCAGCGGGGGGGGTGGGGGAGAGAGGCAACGGGGCGGGGGCCGTGGCGGCAGAGGATCTGGGAGGGGAGCACCTCCTCCTCCTCCTCCTCCTCCTCCTCCTCCTCCTCCTCCTCCTCCCTCCCCCTCCTCCCTCCCCCTCCATACGTTCTCCTCCCTGCTCCCTGCTCCCTGCTCCATGCTCCCTGCGCCTCGGTGCTCCTCCATGGTGCAAGCGCCTGACGTGGGCAAACAGGAGGAGAAGCACAAGTTCGGGACGAAGGGGATGGGGGGGCGAGGATGCGTACAGGAGAAACAGGGGGCGAGCTACCATGGAAACGACTAGGAAGGGGAGGAGGCGTAGGCAGGGGCACGAGGAGGGGAAGGAGGCGAAAGAGGCGAAGAGCAAATGGGACAAAGTATAATGATGCCATTGCAGAGGAGGGGGAGTAGCATGAGGAGGACACGTAGCTATGTTAATGTAGACCGTGATGTCACAGGGGGGCTGAGGAGAGGGATGCGAGTGAGGATGGACGAATAAGTCGATCACGATGGTAATGGTATCGATGAGACGGGGTGCTGAATAAGAGGAAGAGAAGGACCCAAAGAACGACAAGGATTTGGACGCATCGGAGCGGGAACCGATGGGGTAGGACGAGGGAGAGGATGCGGTGGAGAACGAAGAGGCCAATGAGGAGAATGACAGCAATCAAGTGGAGCGTTGTTGGGTCTTGGGCTGACGCCTGGCCCCAGCTCCCCACAATGAAAAAACACAATGGCAGGCCGCGAGCGCGACGTGAGGAACTCGGAAGGCCCGAGAAGGCCCGAGAAGGTCGGGCGTGTCCTCCTACAGGGGGGCATTAGACGAAAAATTAAGCATACCCCAAAAATGCTCAAACATACTCAAAAATGAAATTGAAAATGGTCCCAAGATGTTTTTAGTATTTTCGAATTTTCCTCTCGTAGAGGGACAGGCCCGACTTAAGGGAGGCTTGCAGACCACTTGTTGCACGAAGCTTACGCGTTCGACCACGGGCCCGTTGCTGCCCATCGGCCTTTGGCGATCTCCAAGGGTCTTCTGGCGATCTTCGGCGCTTTCCGGCGGTCTTCAAATTTTTTGTCCCGCTGCGAGACTCGACGAACCATAGGATGATAGGCACAGCGGCGAAGACAAGGAGAGCAGACAGGGCACGGTCTTCAATCGTATTCTGGCGGTCTTCGGCGGCCTTCAATGGTCTTCTGGCGGTCTTCTGGCGGTCTTCGGCGGTTTCCGGCGCGAAAGCTGGATGGTTGCGTCGAACGAGGGGTCCATGAACGCTCAGAGCTAGAGGTTCAACCAGCATTCGCGCGGCCCAGGATCTAGAGCACAACTCTTCAAGGCGCACAGGGCACTCAGGTGGAGCAGGCAGGAAGAGGGGCACACGTGGGTGGAAGATGAGAGGCCAGAGGAAGGCAGACCACGAGGACGCGCGGGGTCGCCCTCCCCGCCTCCCTGCCTGGAGCCCTCCCGGGTGGGGTCTGAGCAGATGGGGTCCTCCTCCTCCTCCTCGTCCTCCCTCTCGTCCTCCTCCTCCCCTCCTCCTGCTCCTCCTCACCCTCATCCCTCTCCTCCTCTTCATGGGGTCGGAGCATCGCGACGCACCGCCGGTGGATCGGCGATGCACCGGCACCAGCGACGCCAGGACGTAGAAAACCGAGCTGCGGATCGATCCGTACCGCCGACGCGTCGGCGATGCGGCGCAATCCTCCGGCCCCGTCTGCTCGACCCATTTGGCAGGAGGAGTCCCCAGAGATCCAAGGATGTGACTTTTTCAATCTGGCGGGTTTTCAACCAATGATTTTTTTCAGTCGGCCTCTGGGGCCCGCTATCGGGCCCGAAGACCATCCAGCATGGATCTGGGACGAACTAAAAACACGCCCCGGGAATGGGTCGGGGCCCTTGGGACCGCGGATCGAAAAAACATATCAGCGGATGTCTGGGTCAGCATCGGAGACACATCGCGACAAGATCGGAACGTCAGTCGGATGGGGATGCATCGGCACGGAATTGGGATCGAATCGGATCGGCCTCGTCAAAACGCACAACAGTGCCATGCATGCTTGGCGTCGCATCGGATCGTCCGTATAGTCAACGTGTTTTTTAATCGGCGTTTCGACATTGGGCGGAAGGGGGGGAGGGGTCTGGCTCCAGACCTCTGCTTAGTGCGGCTGCTTGGAACAGTGCGCCCATTAATTAAGGGGGAGACTCCACCTGCCCGAAAGCAGGCTCCAAAAACAGTCGAGATCCACTCCATGAGGGGGGGGAAGGGGGGGGGTGCGAGGGCCCGCGCCGATCGGCGAAACCACACATAAAAAACGGCAACCGTGTGGGAATCGAACTGGGCTGTTTCGGCTGGAATCGATATCGAATCGCGGCCTGGGCTCCCGATCCCCTTCTCCAGCTTGGCACACCCAGAGTGGGTTCGGAAAACACGGGTACGATGCCCAACAGCACATGTTTCACTGTACCGACCTTGCAGACGTGCTGCAGCGATTTTTGCGTGGATTTCTGCCAGTGCAAACCCAGAGACGGAAAATGTCGCGTGGATTTGTTTAAGTCTTCATTCCTGGCCCCAAATAATCCGCACGGAATTCACCTCGACATCCGGAACGAAATTCTCCAGGACACTCCGGGGCCATCCTACCGTTTTCCGAACGAAGTCCGCTCTGCGATGTTGGCGCCATGACATGTTGTCCCAAACCGCCGAGAGCGGCCGCTGTTGGCCAAGCGACACCTTGTCTCAAGTGGTCCGCGGCGGCGCCGACAGCGATTCCTGTTCAAGGCACGGCCTGACCTAGGAAAGAAACACGCCTCTCGAGAACACGAGACCCTCCGCCGGCCAAACGGAAGAACATTCGAGGGCACCCTCCCCCAGGACTGCACGAGAACATCCACCAACCCTGAAGAACATGAGGGTACCCTCCCCAGAGACCGACCTGGACCGTGTACCTCGGTCCGACCGTAGACCGTGTCCCTGGCCAAGGCCATCCTGGGCCCCCCGGGGTGGTGCATAGACCCTGCCGGTCAAAGCTGGGTCTGCTGAGGAACCCAGAAAGGACGCCCGCGCCCAGCCACGTACGTGACGATCCCCACTGGTTGGCGACACCACCCCCATTTCGAGGGCGCTCGAGCAAAACGCGCTGTCGCTCGGAACCCGCGCGAGCTCATGCACACGTGCGCCCATTCTTCCTACCCGTCCTTTCCGTACACATTTCGACCGTGCTGACCAGCGGGGAGGAAGACGGCGACGGCGACGACGACGACGACGGTGGCGGCAGCGGCGGCGTCGAATCGACGACGACGACGGCAGATAAGACGACGACGAGGAAAACGACGAACACGACGGCGAGGACAAGGACGACGCCGACGACGATGACGTCGAACGCGACAGAAACAACGAAAACGACGACGACAGCGACGGCGACGGCGACGGCGACGGCGACGATGACGACGATGGCGGCGGCGGCGACGAATCGACGCTGGCGAAGACGACGACGACGGCGACGGCGACGGCGACGACAGCGGCGGCGGCGGCGACGAATCGACGACAGCAGCGAGCTCGAGGCGCCCCCCCCGGGCCCCGCCTGCTGCACGTCCACCGCCCGGGGCGGGCCGCGGAACAGCCGCCAGTCCGCCTTTCCGATCGCGCGGGGGGGGGGAGCGAGGACGAGAAGGAGGGGGGGAGGAATAGGAGAAGGAGGAGGACGAGGGGAGGAGGAGGAGGAGGAGGAGGAGGAGGAGGAGGAGGAGGAGGAGGAGGAGGGGAACAAGGAGGTGGCAAAGGAGGGCTGGAGGGGGGGGGGGTGGAAGGAGGCAGGAGGGCTGGGGGGGGGAGGGGGCGAGGAGGGAAGGGCAAGCTAGGTGCGCTCGCGTCAGATCTAACGTCCTACCCCTCCCTCCCATACCTCACTATGGCTAGATCTTCTCTCCATTCGCACCGTCGGATGTCGAGCATGGCAATGATCGCGAGAGGTACGCGATGCATGGTGGAGCACGGCATGACATGGCGTAGAAGAGCGCGGCAGAGCGTAGCGTGCCATAGCATAGCGTGGGATTGCGCAGTGAAGCATTGCACCACAAAACGCTGCAACGCAAAACATGGCACCGCACAACGGCGCAGAACACAACACCGCACAACATGTCATGGCATGGCGCCGGGTTCGTTGGAGGGTAAGTGGATCGTCTTCGAGTGGTCTGGGCCATTCTGGAGTCGTGGTTCCATGTCTAGCTCCTTGGGCTCCCCGAAAAGCTCCACACGCGGCAGGGCTGATGGAGAGCACCCGATGGCTCTGCTTCCAACATCGCTTTCTCAAAGCAGAAGCAGGGCTCCCGCTTGATATTTCCTGGAAACGACGACGCCCCCCCAAAATCAACGAATCGACACCGAACATGCAATCACTTCCGATGGTTTTTCGGGAGGGGGCATTCTCTCGATTTTGGGACCTATTTGGAAGGACCGAAAACGCCCGCGCTGCAGCAGGAGCGCGACTTGGAACAACCAGAGGCGCAGAAATGGGGACAGCGCTTCAGCGGGAGCAGAATTTCGGAAACAACCCAAGCGGAAACCCACTTCCAGGGAATCCTTTGTAAAAAACGGTACGCGGAGGGGGGCCGGATATCTTCTGGACGTCATCAGGGGAGAGAGGAGAGTAGCATTCAGGGGCGAGGAGGAGGAGGAGCGAGGACAAGAGGGTGGGGGAGCTGAGAACTGAACACTGACAATGTGACAATGTCAATGCTATCTAACAACAAGAGCACACACCACGAGTTACACGCCAGCTTGCGTCTGGATGCCTGCTTGCGTGAGGGGGGGGGGGGGGGGGGGGGGGGGGAGGAGGAGGAGGGGAGGGAGGAGGGGAACGAGGAGGGACGAGGAGGGCTGGAGGGGGGTGAAAGGATGCAGAGAAGGGGGTAACTGAGAACTGAGAACTGACCATTTGACAATGTACACGCTATTCAACAATATGAGCACACATCACGCATTACACGCCTGCTTGCGTCTGGATGCCTGCTTGCGTGAGGGGGGGGGGGAGGAGGAGGAGGAGGAGGAGGAGGAGGAGGAGGAGGAGGAGGAGGAGGAGGAGGAGGAGGAGGAGGAGGAGGATGCCCGCGGGGTGAGGCGGACCGCGTCGAGCCACGGCCACCCCTGCGAGGCGCGCGCCCCACGCGCGCCCGCGCCTCGGCGCAGCTACGCGCCCGAGGCTGTCGGCCAGGCCTCACCCCGCGCGGCCCGCAGCAGCCTCGCCACCTTGGCGGCCAAGCCTGGCGAGCTGCTGCGCTCCCGCGCGCAGCGCCGCGGCCTCGGCCAGCCGCCTCTGCCGCCCGCAGCCCCTGCTTCGCATCGAGCAGCAGAGCCACCTGCAGGCGGCATGCTCTCCTCCTGCGACCTGTCCTCCAAGTCCACGCTGTCGCCGCCCGCAGCCCCTGCTTCGCATCGAGCAGCAGGTTCACCTGCAGGCGGCTGGACCTCCTCCTGCGACCTGGCCCCTCTGGCCTCGCGTGGCGGGGGCGGTCCGCCGCCGCTGCCACCTGCAGCCACCTCGCCTCCTCTCTCGGCAGGGCCCGCCTCAGGCCGCTGGCTCTCCTCCTGCTGCTTGGCCACCTTGGCCGCCCGCCTCGGCGACTGCGAGGGCGGCGTCAGCGCGGCCTGCCTCGGCGAGCTGCTGCGCACACGCGCGCGGCGCCTCGGGCCTGGCCCTCCGCCGCCGCCCGCAGGCCCCGCCTCGCCTCCTGCCGCGGCCTGGCGCCTCGGCGAGCTGCTGCGCACACGCGTGCGGCGCCGCGGGCCTGGCCCGCCGCCGCCGCCCGCAGGCCCTGCCTCGCCTCCTGCCGCGGCCTGGCGCGCCGCGGCTGCGCGCCTGCCGCCAGCTCGCCCTCTCGGGCCAGCCGCCACGCTGGAGCCCTCAGGGGTCAGGGGACGCAGGGAGTCCTCGCCCTCCCCCTCCCCGCCACCTGGAGCTCCTCCTGGCGGGCGCAAGGAGTGGCCGTCCTCCTCCCCCGCGATGTGCCGCGGCGGCTGGCCTCTCCCCTCCTGCACGACGTCCGCCAGCATCGGCGGGGGCGGTCCGCCGCCGCTGCCACTTGCAGCCACCCCGTCTTCTCCCTCGGCGGGGCCCGCCTCAGGCCGCTGGCTCTCCTCCTGCTGCTGCTTGGCCACCTTGGCCGCCCGCTTCGGCGACAGCGAGGGCGGCGTCAGAGCGGCTTGCCTCGGTGAGCTGCTGCGCACGCGCGCGCGCGGCGCCGCGGGCCTGGCCCGTCGCCGCCGCCCGCAGGCCCTGCCTCGCCTCCTGCCGCGGCCTGGCGTGCCGCGGCTGCACGCCTGCCGCCAGCTCGCCCTCTCGGGCCAGCCGCCGCGCTGGAGCCCTCAGGGGTCAGGGGGCGCAGGGAGCCCTCGTCCTCCCCCTCCCCGCCACATGGAGCTCCTCCTGGCGGGCGCAAGGAGTGGCCGTCCTCCTCCCCCGCGATGTCCTGCGGCGGCTGGCCTCTCCCCTCCTGCACGTCGTCCGCCAGCATCGTGATGTTGACTGCCACCTCGCTGACCACCTTCGGAGCCAGCCCCTTCCTCAGCCTCGCGACCGCGGCGGCGCCTGCAGCCGAAGGGACACTCTTGCACTCGAGGTGGAAGGAGCTCGCTCTGGCCGCGCCTGTGAACCCGCACGCCCTGCAAGCCACCAGCGGCATCCTGCGCACCAGCAGCCTCCCATCAACAGGCGCGAGGAGCACCAGGTCGTGCGACGCCTTCTGCTGCGCCTTCAGCCTGTTGTTGGCCCTGATCGCCTCGGCGACGATGCTGCCAGGGCACTCTCCTGATCTGCCTGACCATCTGCAAACCTCGCACCAGGGACGTAGGCCAGGCGGCCTCCTCCAGACGCAGGCCATTCTCGCCGCTGGCTCCTTGCGCACTGGCAGCGCGCGCTGCACCTTCGTCTTGCCGTGCGTGGTGTCGCTGCCGTCGACCCAGCTGCCGACTGCCGCGCACCACATGGCTGCTCGTTCGACCACGTCTCGACTCCTCTCCAGGCACTCTCTGTCCCGCACGGGGAGGCGCCCGCTGGCCGCCGCAGCCTTTGCCGCCCTGTCCGCCAGTCGGTTGCCGTACCAATCTCTGTACAGCACCTCGCCCGCCGCCACCTGCCGCCGCGTGCTGTGGCTGGGCATCCACCTCAGGCTGACCTCATGCCCAAGGCCTCCTCGCTCGTCCAGCAGGTCCCAGGCTCGCCGCCACAGGTGAGCCCACGTGTACGCGTAGCCCGTGGTGCCCACCCTGCCGACCTTGTAGAAGCCGTCGTACACGCACTTGGAGTCGACCACCAGCACCGTGACCCCTTGGCCAAACCTGAGCGCCATGATCACCGCTGTGAGCTCCCCGCCGTTGATGTCCACGCAGTGGCCCTCCATCTGGCCAGCGATGGAGGCTCTGTACCCGTCACTGTGCGCCTGCAGCGCCACCACACTCCAGCCAACTGCCGCCACCTCCTCGTAGCCCGCTTCGAACGCCGAGCCATCGAGAAACAGCTCACCTCCAGGAAGGGTGCCTCCATCGTGGTCGCCCTTCCAGCACACGTCGCTGCACACTGGCGGGCGGCAGATGCCCCGTGGTGTCGGCCACAGGCACCTCTCAAGCAGCAGCTGCACCTCAGGCCTTCCGCTCTGCCTTCGGAGGCCTGCCAGGTCCTCTGGGAGCGTCAGCACCTCACGCCAGCACGGGCAGTCGAAGTGCCTGTGCATCAGCGTGCCCCTGGCTCCACACCTCAAGCACCCTGCACTGGGCGCCAGCCCCTTCTCCTCCTTGCGCGCCTGAGTCCACTGCCCATCGATGATGAGGGACCTCAGGTAGGCCTGCTCTCGCGCCGTCAACCGAACCCTGGTGCGAGGTGCTCCCTCCTCTCGGCGTGGCTCGTCGGCTTTCCTAGCGCAGCCAGAGGAGGTGAGCCTGACCAGGGGCTCCAGCTCGCCGCCACCCGCCAAGTGCGCGCACCCTGGGGCTTTGGTGACCTGCCTCCACTGCCAGCGCTGCACTGCTCTCTTCACCAGCTTGACCACGACCCACGGCGCGCAGTCGAAGGGCGCGATGGCCACGCCGTCGTCCATGACCCAGCAGTTGGCGGCGACGACGTCCCAGCCGATCCTCCTGGGGGACAGCACCGTCGCCGCGCACGGGCCCTGCGCGTGCACCCAGGACACAGGCCGCTTGTCCTCGAGGCCCCGCCACACCATGTGCAGCGGCACCCACCGCTCCCAGACCGCACGCAGCAACATCAGCACCGGCTTGCAGGTCGCGTCGTAGATCGGGTCAAGGCCTGCCTGGAGCATGAGCCCGAGCGACCTGGACTTGCTCGCCGTGGTGTTGGAGACCGCGACGAAGTTGAGGGTCCTGGCGCGGTCCAGCTCCCCCTCCGTGCAGCCTGTGATGGCCGTGCCGTATCCGATGCACGGGTGCAGCCCCGTCTTCACAATCCTCTTGGTGGCCCTCCGCTTGGCCTTGACCACCTGCAGCACTTTGATCCTGCGCAGCCTGCCGCTCGCCTGCACCATCCTGTCGCGACGAACTGCTCGTCCTATCCTCTTGCCACCGCTGAAGTCGACCCCCAGGTTCCTCTCCTGTCCTGTGGCGCGCACCCCCAGCGGCTTCAGC